GATAACCGATCGGAGGAATCGTTCACGATCGAGATCGATTTCCCGATCGCGAATGGAAGAACTGTAGACGGAAACCCTGCGCGTACAGAACGAATACGGAAATCGGAAACCTTCCTTACATACGGTTCGAAAAGCACGGACCTACACCGGCTGCGAGGCAGAAGGGCCGTGTTTCAAAATCGGTGTGTATCGAAGGGGCCATCTGAGGGCCAGGCCCCTTCTATCAGGACCTAAACGAGAAAGCGATAAAAGGAAGAAGGTAGGAAAAAAGACTTGCGCAAAGTAGGTATACCAAGGCAAGAAACGAGAGAGAGAAGCCACGTGTATAAAAGGAAGAGGATCGATTGTGTCGATTATTCGTTGTCTAAACAAACTAGAGCCGGTCCTGCAACCTCCCCATACCACCGTCGTCGCCGCCGACGTTTAACAAGGACCTCGTTATAATATTTTATTACGCCTCTCGTATATTATAATGCCAAGCCGCGAGTGGTTTCCTCTGCGAGCGAAAAGGTCGAGGTGGCTTTCGCGCAGTCATGTAGACGTAGAAATTTACTGCTGTGTTTCGTAGAAGGAACGAAGGACGGGGCTCCCTCTTCGACTCCGACTGGGACCCGTCGTCATCGACATGGAGCCATGATTGAAAACGGTACAATGACTTATCACGTTGTCAGTTGGAACCACACGTAGGTATACATATATATATATATATATATATGAAGAGAGTGTGTCTGCCGCGTTTCTCGAATCGTATTGCGGCTTTGGCTTTGGCTTTCGAACGGATATATATATAGATATGCAAGTTTTGAACATCGCGCGCGCGCGGCTTTCGAACTCGACGAGACCGCGTGAACTTCGAAGAATGCGACTCCACCCGGGCCGGAATGTCTATTAATATCTATTTATGTTAAATTGGTACGTCGCGCCGTATTTGCTCCGTCGATTCTATATTCGCATCTCGCTGTTACAAACCGCTGTTCGCACACGTATCCGCGATAGTTTATACATTCTTTGAATTCAGAGACATCGATTATATATTCCACTTCAAAGGAAGCTATTTTCAATTTTATGTCTATTTTATAGTCAACTTATTTTTAATTAAAAAACACGTAATTCTTGTTTTTTTTAATTCGTTAATTTCTCTGTTTTATTGCCTGGACAATTAAAAAGTCTAGAGAAAATAATGATTAAAACTATATGAAATTAATTAGAAACTAAATTTCTGTTATCCGCTTGAAATCTAGTTGTTGACCAACAAGTATCGTTTAATATTGAGTCAACGCATTTATTTTGGTAAAGCTTATAACATTTGTAACAACAATAGCACGGATGACATTAATTTAGTATCATTAATTCTATCATTTAATTCTGCAGACTTTATTACATCATAATTCCCGGTACGTTGCAATAAGGTCAACGATGCTATTATGGCAGATACACAGAGCTACAATTAACGATATGGCCAAATGCAATTGCAACTCTGCTACATGACAAATGCAATTTTGTGTGCAATCGTAAATCTTTGATCTTTAATTACAATGTATTATTTACGTGATTTAAACGTTCAATATCGTGCCTCCGACGCCTTATTCGTGCTGCAGTAAATTAAAGTGAAAACGATACAACTCGCCGTATAGTCATTTTACATGCATACAACATTACTGTTATGCAATTTTACTTTACATATATATGTCGTCATATCTCAGTATCAACGTGAAAAAAAACATTTTCAAGAGATGCGATTTCACAATATTTCAATAAAATTCAATAATAAAAATATTCCGCGATAAGAAAAAATCTATATATAAAATATATATATATATATATATATATATATATATATATATATATATTAGTCACGTGCCTCTATTATCCGTGCGGATCTTAATTTGGCTCAATTTTCTTCAATCAGGCGGTATTCCTCGACGATCGAAGAGTGTGTCGCACGAATCGACATAGCGCGTGTCGCGCTTCGTTCGGATGAACGTAATGAAAAATCGCGATTCACGTTCCCGCGTGCGATTCGACACGTGCAAAAGAACGTGCTCAATCGAGAATCGTGCGTGCGATGAAACGCGCAATCCCACGCGCGAATGCACTTTTCTCGAGGGAAAGAGCGAGAGTCCTCGAACGGGTTCAGGTGTCGCGCGTCACCCTATATATATATATATATACTCTATATCCCAGGTTTGTCCCTTCGTGCCCCGGCGACGACGAGAGAAGGCAACGAGGCGGATGGTTTTCGCGGTTCAGCGGTCCGGAAACGAATTATCCGTCCTACCGTGGAAGTTATCGAGGAAATATTGGAAAGTCCGCGCCATCGAGTGGCATCCATTCGTTTCCGGCGCGACGATTTTTGACTAACGCGGCACACAAGTGAAATCCCGACGTGAGAGGGCGATAAAGAGGAAATCGAAAGCGTGAGAATGGAACAGCCGGACAGTTCGAGAAAAGAAGGTACGGTTTTATCGCGCTCGATGGATGGCAGCCAAGCAGGATTATAGCTCGAAGAACGGAGCACGAAGGTCTCTTTATCTCTGTGTTTTTAAACGTGCGTGTATATATACTTTAAGATGAATTACATAAAACTTTATTATTATTCGCAATTTCTTAAATGCACGCCATCATTTCTCACGCAGATATTTTGCTGCTTCTCTTGGCCACGTAAAAATGCATTTCTGCATTAATCATACCTACAGATCGAATTTGCATATATTCCAATATAATTTGTTTTTAAAATGTAATAGCCATGTGTAAGAAATATATATAATATATATTTATAATATATATTTATATATTTTTATTATTTCTAATAAACAAACTTTCTGTCATTTCGTACCCGTGATCCAATTCGTAAAAATATCAATCATACGAAAACATGTTGCTCAATAAAATCAATTTCGCGTGAAATTGTAACGAATGGAAAAGAAGATTAACACATCCGACTTTTGATATTTCTTTCCAGATATTCCAGTTTATCCCTCGGGTAGTTTGGTTTTAAAACGATTCACAATCACAAATATAATTAAAGATTCTCTGAAATCACAATTCAGGACGAACCTGTAGCATCGAGATAAACATATAGCTTCGATATTCCACTCTCCCGGCTATTGATACCCGATGATTATGCATCGCGATTCGCGACGCTTCAATTACGGGATGCGTAGCTAATGAAATCGGTGCGTGAGTGGTAGCAATTTATTTATCGGACAGTTTAAAGCTCGGCGCAATACTCGAACTCGTCGACATCGGCGATTATTCAATGTCCATTACTCGATTATTACGATCCGCGCACCGTACTATAAATAAATACTTATTACTACTAGTCCATATATAGATTTTTCGGTGGTTAATTTTCCGGACGTAACGCGCGCGCAGATTTAATAAATGGGACCTTATTTCGTCCGCTCGTTAACTCGTCGCGCTATAATCTCGTTCGTCACACAACATCGCTCCCGTTCGGATTAAATCACTATCGATAATGCGCCGTTAACAGCCTTATCTGATAATTTCGCGTGCTGTGTGTACTTCGGGAATAACTACAAATTGGAAAACGATCGCCTCAAAAGGGAATATCCGATATGCAAGATATGCGTGACGGTCAATTTTCCTGTTCTCGGTTCGTCCCTAACCGGATTTATACTTGAAATTATACCGGTTTCACGTACACCTGAAGTTATTACTGTGGAGCGAAGAGATGAGAGACGAATGAAGTGCGACGTTTTGCTCCCGTCGAACGGATCTGATTAACACGTAAAGAAACTCCAAAGAAATTAATGTCATTATGTGATTAAAGATATAAGATGTAATTCTCTCTGCGTTTTCATGTTGATACAGCTCGTTAAATAATATCTTTTTGTACGCTAGATTGAATATTTTTTATTAATAACTGTCCCACATTTTATTGCTCGCTGTATTATTTTCAAACAGAGTCGCATTATATGCGTGACCTTTAAAATTAGTTTCCTCATTATTTCTCTGACATTTAAATTGTGTTTTCTACTGTACAAATACAAAATATACGTAACTTGTAGAAAATATATACTACTGATAAGGAATAATATTCGAAAAACGTAAAATATCGAATCTGCAAATCAAAATCATCAATATTCAAGAAGAAAGATTGAATAACAATAAATTGTCACAATAGACAAATATTACGATATTATCTAAAACGTAAACTCTGTTTTGTGTATTTAAAATTCATATATGAATTTTAAAACGTTCAATTTTATTTTCTAGCTAAACTGAATTGCTTTATTATTTCAAATAGAATTTATTTTCGTACAACTTTGACAATGTTGAGTTGATGAAGATCATCCTTCCAATTTTTACATATATCTTTACGATTAACTTTTAAATTTTAATTAATATAAAATTTTCTTTTAAGAAAAGTATTTAAAATTTCGTATATTTACTGACTGTATCAATTCTTTCTTATTGCACACTCTTTAGATTATATTAATGTCTCATCGCGCAGTGAGAAACAATGATACGACTGTCTTTTTTCGCTCTTTCATTAGATATTGTTATCTTGCACAGAAAGAGAGATAAGTTTGAAGCTATATGTCTAAAAGTCTAATGAAACTGAATGCAAGAAATATTGACTTTTATTTGTCATTTATAATATAACTAAAATAATTCTATTCTTTTTAATATTTGTCAATTATAATTGCTGTATGTATGGATTTATAACAACATTGCAAATAATGTTGACATTGCAATTATTATACAACAGAATTAAATCATCAAATAATTAATGTCAACAGAAAGCTGAATATCAACAAAACATAATATTATTTTACGTATTCCATCTGTGTTTGAAATGAATCTGTATGCAAACAACAAAAGCTATCGCAAACTCTGATTACTCCTTTATCGGAGCACTCGTTCGTTAAATCAAGCATAACACGCGACGTAATAAGACAATCGCCGAGCGGAAACAGTTGTACAGAGACTTCCCATCGTCAGCTTAAAAATCTTAAGATAATTAGACAACTTACCCATCAGCTTGTGGACCTCCGTCTTCGTGAGAAAGAGATTGAAGTAACTCGCGGCTGGTCGCGCGATAACGACGAGCAGCAGCACCGCTAGTCGCTGGCAGAGGAACATCGTGATGTTGGCCGCCACGTGACGTTCTCACCCGAGTATATTTACGGCCTCGAGAATCTCGCAGAATCCGCACCAGCACTCGCGTAGTATTTTACGCGCGGTTATTTCATATTTCGCGCTGGAAATGTAAATCTCCGCGCGAAGGGGCTGGCGGGAACGTCACGTGCAGGCGAGAAACGCGTGCACGTGACACGCCGCGCCTCGAGAGCGCGCTCTTCTTTTCGCTCCGGAAAATAAAGGGGAAAAAAAAGAAACACGGACTCCTCTCTTTGACAGCTCGCGTCGAACACAACCGGAGGGACACTCCCACGAGCGAGGAAACTCGTCGCCGTGGCTCGATATATCTCGCAATATACCTCGGCGCGAGATTTTCAAGCGCGTATCCAGCGACGCGCGTACGACGGAGATCTCGGAGCGACACGGAATGTTCGGAGCGGAATGCTCTCGCGGAGAGAGCGCGCGCGGCGTGCCTTGCCTCGTGAAAGCCACAACCAGTTGTGTGCTACCATCGCCATGGGTCGTCGTCTGGGGTCGGCGCAGGCTTGTTCGACCGAGTGCGGCCGAATACCGCCGAGTTTTGCCGAGGTCCATCTCTATCCTACGAGGGTCTGGTCTGGTATACACCAGAGATGGTTATATGGTCATGGGTCCACGGCCGAGAGATCGAACGGCTGTTGTGTGCGCCGAACGAGACCGGAATTGAATTTAAAATTCACCGACAACGATACGGCGCGGCGCACGAATGTACGGTCGCAGCGCATGTACGGCTAAAAGGTATTTAAATTGTTTATTTCAAGCAATTTGCAGTATTTTCGAGGAAAAATTCAATTTTCCTAGAAAATTGTTTGTTTATAAAGCACACGTGTGCATTACAATTTTCTTCGAATATTATTTGATATTTTAAATCGAACGCGCAATTAATATCGATCGAGTTTAATATCGATACTCAATTGATTGTCAATTAGCACAAATTATATATTTATAATAAATTATATTATAAAATCTATTATGAATTATATTATGAATTACATTACATCATAAATTATATATTATAAATTATATTATAAAGTATATTATACACGTTTTGATTGCCACAAAACGTGACTCTTTAAAAAAGGATTATAATGAGAGTTTATTGTGAGGAAAACACAATAATATGACAGAAAAAAGTATAATTGAATGAGACAGCGTAACGGTATAAATAAGGAATAATATAGTTAATCGATGTCTTCGACGTCAACTAATATTTACATATTTTATGGTCATTCGGTTCGTAACATTGGTGTTGCTAACCGTATTAAATTGAAAGCGTAACGGCATTCTCGCAAGCAATAAATTTCAGGTCCTTTATTCACGGTACTTCGGTAACAGGTTACACTCCGTCACGTGTTACCTGAAGCTGAAAGTCGCGCAGCCCTCCTCGTTATTCGTCCCGAGACGACCGGAGATCTTGCTTTTTTATTTTTTATTTCACAAGAGAGGCATATAATATCTTTGCGATCCAATTAACGCGATGCCAAACGGTGAAAAAATAAAACGACGCTTTATTAATTTTTCAATCTTTCAACATAGCACACATATATTTTTTTTAATTCAATCTTCTCTCTCTCTATATCGTAGAGAGAAACGAACAAATGCAAATGTTTCACATATATCAGGTGTTTCATTACGTAATTGATCGTATATATTTCAATGTCATTTCTTCTATTTTATCGAAAGATTTATACAGATATTAATTAAAGATATTATCTGCCACTCACAATTTTCTACCTATAGAATTTTCTCTCACTCTGCAAAAGTAAGAAAATATAAATCGGTCTCCATGAAGAGAAATCCCGTTATGTCATCGTCATTGAATATAACTGAAATCACACTTTTATATATATATGCACTTATATCTTTTTATCCGCGCAAAATCAGGATTAAAAATCCTGAAACTAACATTCTTGCTCGAATACGGGCAATAAACGCTTCTCGATGCTAAATCGTTGACGATAAACCGCGCGCTCGATCTCACACTTTCCGGAGTTCTTCTCCATCATATATCTTACTCTTATAGCGGAGACTCCTCTCTCGAGCAGGACGAGCGATGCGGCGCGGAATACGAGGTGCTCTCGAATTTCATCCTCGAGGAAGGAATCGAAGGCAATTGGAATATCCATCATTTATTTGCATAATTCGAGATCGACGACGGATACGGGAGAACGCCCACGTAGCCGCTCTCGAATCGCTCTCGTCTTACGAGGATCCCAGTCTGCCAACCCTTTTTCTCGTGTCTACCAGAAACTTGATTACCGAACGTCGTCATTACTGAAGATGTGCGCGAGCGAAAATACGAGAGAGTAGAGGAGCACCGGGATTCGTTTTGCAAATTCGCGGGTGATTGAAAAGCTCGTGCGGCATAAAAACCGCGGGAGATAATCGCGACGAGAGAAAGAGAAAAAAAAGAATAGAGGGAGAAAAAGATCAGATGATTACTCTGTTATAATACAGCATGGGTATAGGATACAGGGATCCGTTAACGTTGGTGGTCGATGAATGCGCTACGAGGAACAAATTCGTACGTGATGCTCTGTCCTCATCCAAGTGCATCTCCCTTCCTTCTTATTAGTTCGCGTCCTCTCGTCCTGGAGGCTATTAACTTAATCTCGGCGATTATACAGTTACATGAGAGAGTTATCATTTAATATTTTATGGTCGGTGCAGCTCATGTTTACTCATCGTTTCTATATTATAACGTCGATATGAGAATTACATGCTATATATCGAAAATAAGAAGAGTTGGTACAAGGTTTATATATGAACATATATAATAAGAGCGAAAAGAAATTAAATTATCTGGAATTTACAGTGATCAGATCGATAGATAATTTTTTTTGCCTTCTTTCATATTCGCAAATTGTAGAGTGACTTGCTAATTATTATAATAACCGTGTGATTGAAAGCTCAGCATGTTAATTAAAAATATATTTAATTTTAATTATAGAAAGAAGTTGAAAGAGCACCTCTATTTTTATTTCTGACGAACTCGTTACATTCGTAATTTCTCATTAATATGGAAAATGTATAAAATATAAATTCGGATTATATACTCTACACGTATACATTATTAAAAAAAAAAATAACGCGTAATCTTGGCGAATATGTTTGTATCGCTATCTGCCTGTGGTAGCTGGCACGTGAGCACAATGTACGTACAGTGGATCTCTAAACTGTGGTACAACACTGATATCATAAACAAGACTCTGCTCGTTGCGCGGCACGAAAAACGCGGTTTAATCTACTGCAAATACAGGCCGCTTCACTTAAATCAAGCCAATGTCAAGAAGAGAGAACGGACCCCTTTGTCGGTTCTAATCTGTGCAAACAGTCGTATATCTAGCAGTCGTCGACCAAACTCTCGGTTTATCCGAATTTATACCCAGTAGCAGCTTCTGGAAAATCTCGCGACACATATATGTAAGACTCATTTATCAGATATGTTTGACATAATTCTCTTTTTTTCTCATTTACAATTAATACACGCGCCACACATTATCATTTATTTATGTGTCGATAGAATTCAATATTTAATTTTTAGCGAGGTTTGTTTATACATCGACTATATAATTTATTATGTAATAATTCACCATTGTTGTTAGAGAATTTCTTCATCAAAAAATGGACATTTTACTCATAAATCAATCTATACTATAATACTTTATTTCAATATATTTTTATTCTATATAAAAGAACATTTCTCTCTCTCTTTTCTTCTGACAATCCCGCATTTTCTAAGCAGCTGTAGCAATTTTTAGAAAAGTTTGTTTACACATAGACCAAAAATTAACATTTTACTAGTGAATTAAATCAATCTATGCTACTTTATTTCAATATATTTTTATTCTATATAAAAGAATATTTCTCTCTCTTTTTATTCCGACAACCCATTTTTCTAAGCAGCCGTAGCAATTTTTAGAGAAGTTTGTTTACACATAGACCAAAAAATTAACATTTTACTAGTAAATTAAATCAATCTATGCTACTTTATTTCAATATATTTTTATTCTATATGAAAGAACATTTCTCTCTCTTTTTATTCTGACAACCCATTTTTCTAAACAGCCGTAGCAATGGCGTATTATTAAAGAAACGCGATTTTGCTCCGCGAGGAGCGGCTTTTAGTAGAAATGAGGGTAGCGCACTTTCGGATGGAGCGCTTTTACACGTATACCAGGTCTCTCTTTCTCTTTCTCGTCTATATCCGCCCAAAAGAGCTCCGGATGCATTATCACGCGGTTCCCGCTTAAACGAGGCTTTCTTTGCGCCGATCGCGCAGCGGCACAGCCTCCAATTAACGCTTTCCGCGACCGCTCAAAAGACCCGCTGAAAAAATGGATTATAAAGCGCGCGCCGTTTGCTATCGCATTTTACAACGTTTGTATATGTACAAGCGGCACGTATATGTAAGATACATTAGCGGAATAGCGCTGACAATTCTTCTTCTCCAAGCGCGCTCGACCCGTCAATATCAGCTGATCGAAATGTCAAAGCGCGCAAATTGTCGGAAATTTATAATAAAGTATAATTATAATAAAAAAATTATAAAGCGCGCGCCGTTTGCTATCGCATTTTACAACGTTTGTATATGTACAAGCGGCACGTATATGTAAGATACATTAGCGGAATAGCGCTGACAATTCTTCTTCTCCAAGCGCGCTCGACCTGTCAATATCAGCTGATCGAAATGTCAAAGCGCGCAAATTGTCGGAAATTTGAAAGGAGAACTCTTTTACTTCGTTCCTGAGGATCCGATGACCCACGGTTTGAACTCGAGACACTCGATATCGCGGAATTCGTGCGAGAGATATAAAAGGCGAGAGATATTCGGTTACTCGCGGATCCTCTCGCGGAATGTAGCGCGATATGTATCATCGCGCGGAGTAGCGAGCGCGCTTTCGACGATGGGATATATATCGGATTTGGTTTTTCGCCCGGCGAAAGAGAGAATCGATCGACTTGAACCCATCTGACCCTCGCGAGAAACGCAAAGGGTTGAAAGTAGGAGAAGCCGCGGTATAAAACGCGAAGGAAGCACGCGGGAGGGGTCGAGGATGAGGAACGCGAGTCTGAAAATAAGAAGATGTAGATAAAAGCGCTGGGGCTGCACGTTGGCCTAACAAGACTCAGGACTCAGGGGCTATTATCATAATTGTGGGCTGCAGGCAGCGGCTGTGCCCACAAACCAGAATGCCCCTTGTCTCATCTACCTTCGTCGTCGTCGTCTTCTTCTTCTTCTTCTTCTTCTTCCTCTTCTTCGCATCTTATTCTCTCCTCCCTTCTTCCTCTCTTTTCGCGGCTTTTTACTTAAACCCTCTCGCGCGTCTCTTACAGATCTTTTACGCACGTAGAGCGACAAGTGGAGCGGTCACTGTATATAGTTTATATTTCCTCTCTCTCTGCTTCAGATTTCCATTTAAATTAAGAAAACAATGAATAATCCACACAAAATGCGATGCATGTACATACATACACAGAGATACTGTATAAAGAGATTTGTGATATAAAGTAGATTGTTGTTTGATGTCTTTTGATCTCATTGTTATACATATTAATATTGGAGCATGATAATTGGAGTAAATAAGATATACATATATATCCTCTCTATATATAGATAAAGTACAGATAATATTGTCTAGTCACTATTGCGAATAAATTATAATATTTTTGAATGCAATTTGTAGTGAAATTAAGAAAGATAGTAAAAATATGTATATATATAATTATATAGTATATATACTATTTAAGTAAAATTACAGACGGTGGGATGCCTTCCGTGTTCGTTATTAAATTCAGCTATATATGACATGGGTCCTTTGACATGGACCACCCTGAACCAGGTGAAACGCAAACAATCATGCTTCTTTCGCTCTTCAAAAAGAGAGCACGCTCTCTTCACTCTCTTTTAATCTTGATATTTGCATGTCTTAAGAAAAAAAGTACAAGATTTTTAAAATATAAAAAAGTTGACTTGAGAAAAATGAGAATAATATTCTACGTATACTTCTTTTCAAAAATTATTTTGTTATTATATTAAGAATTAAAAGGAATAATAATGAGAATTAATTTACAACAATTCATATTGTTGAGAATATCTCAGCGTAAATTATATGCAATTATATCTTTTATGCATATATGGTAATTGCATATAATTTCGAATTTTTTACAAGCTATAATTAAAATTTTCACAAGCTATAATTAAATTTATTATTACATAATAGAAAATCCAATTTTCTTTTGCTCATAATTATGTGAGCAAATATTTTCTTTTGCGTGTATTATTTAATTAATGTATGAATTTATACGTGCTAAGTTTTTCGATGTGTTATATTGAAATGTAAATGAGACTCTTGAAGTTTTAAATTGATGTTCCATTTCTGAATCTTCTCTAATTTGCTATATCAATTTTAATTCTAATTAAGAGAATATCATTTCTTATTATTATTTCTCTCAAAGTATAAATATACGTTTATGTAATACCTCGTTCTCCTCCTTTTCTGAAGAAATAAAATCAGAATTAAGTTTCGAGACTAAATTTCTTAATGAGAACTCCGAATATCACACAAAATGCATTCTCCTAAATATAACTCAGGGAAACTTCATTGAGAGAGTACAATTGTAAATGCAACGATTCCACAATGAAATTCTCAGTCTCGAATCCTCGTGTCCCGAGAGAGAGAGAGAGGATTCTCGTTCTCCTTTTCCAGAAAAAAAAAAAAAAAACGAGAAGTCAAAAGTAAACAGCAGGTGCACGATAGAATATCTGTTTTCCAGTAAATTATGCGAAATAAGCAAATATACTTCATCTTCAAATTGTTGCACGGTGTGTCGAAAGAGCATTTTTTTCCCATTTGTTTCCCGTACACTCTTTCAGCGAGAGATGCCAGGGGCGTGTATGTTTGTTTAGCCTCGGTGTACCCTGTTATTAGGGACCGCTGTCCGTGCCCCTCGAAAACCGTAGGGCCCACGTCGAGATTTGGCCGCCGCCCGTGAGCCTGATCGTGTATCCCCATCCGCTCTTTGCATCCTCATCGCCCTTCCAATCCTCCCTGTTTCATTTCGTGCGTAAAAGGAGTTCTCGAGAGGAAGAGAACGACGAGATAAATTCGGAAGGGGGTTTCTCGGCTCCTAGCGGGCGTTCTTTTTACCTCTATCTAGATCTTGATTTAGATTCTACGGCGTTTTAATTTATTACACAAGCGAGATGGCGACGATTATACGGAAAGACTATCCGGCTGGAAAAAGTACGCCAATTTTTGGCTTACGTATTACAAGTATAAAAAGACAGAAAATATGGACTAATAAAATTGAAGAATAAAAAAGCAAAGCTCATAAGATATTAAAGAGAGAAGTAAAAGATATATCTATCTTAATTTCATCTCGTGTATAATACAGCGCAAGCTTTTGCATCTCTATAAAGAAGTATTTTATGATTATTCAACTATAATATTTTATAATTATATTACGTGAAAAAAAATCTCGAAACATATTTTAATCCTTTCAACTAGTCAAAATAATCTCTTCTTAATTTTTAAGATTTTTAAAAATATTATATATAGGTAGCCATATCGAAAGAAATATACATGTGCATTTACTGTTATGTTACGTTCTATCAATATCATGTCTCCGTTAGGATTTATGCGATACGCGTTCGGGGAAGGAAATTCATACGTTGTGTCGTTTTTGCAATGTGATTCGTGGGATCGCGCGCGACTCTTCTTTCTCTCTCGATGCACAATGCATCCCTGATGGCATATCCTGCAGGTCCGCAATTGAATACTGTCTGTTTATACGAATGGCACGTGACAATGGCCGAAGGCCCGGCCTCGCACGCGACCGCACCCTGTGTGTCCTCGTTATTTGTTTAATTTAAGAGCATTGTTGCGCGCGCGGTTTTCGTTGGTCCGTAGCTCGATTTATTTCGGCCACGCTCATTTCCCGCGTTTTTAACGTGGGAGATACGTCCGAGTAATGAAAGAAACTGACTGGAATATCGGGTGTTGTTAGATTCGATTACGATTCCCAACGCGAATTTTGTGTGACCCGATATGGCGAATCGTCTCCCTCTTTTCTTTTTTTTTCTCTTTCACAATTGATTATTGGCCTTCCGAAACTTTTACTACCCCATTAATGGAACTTTTCACGTGCAGCCATTTATTAGCGCCCTTCTTTCATGCGATAAATAAAACGCCGTACGCGACGTCGCGGCATGTATTATGTATGTAATATTATACAAAGCGGAATGCTCGCTCGTGTACATAAATTATCGTTGCGGGGATAACTTAATGGCCGATTAAATATTTCTCGCGTCGTTTTTGCATAATTAAATTTTCATAACTGGTTTGAGAAAATTTTTTTACCGACCAATTGTGTCGGAGCAACCGCTGCTTCGGATATCTGCGCGATCTTACAACAGAGGCTGGTATCTGCTGCTGAAACTTTCGACCCTCGATGGTTTTCAAAGCCTACAGTCATGGCAAACTCCCATGAGCTCGGTAATATTTTTCTTAGAGGATACCAACATGATCAGTCGTCGGTGAGAAAGTTTACGACATCAGAAATTCGTTGAAATAAAATAAAATTATTGTTCAACCATTCTAGTGCATAAAATTGCTATACATTTTCAAAAGCAGCTAAATGTTATATAATTTACGAAATATAAAGCCACAATATATAACTGCAGTCACGTTAATGAAGAGATTCTTTTTCTTTTCACAAAATTTTTATTTTTTTATTTTTTACACTAATTATGTCTATATGCGTGAAAAAAATTAATTTTTAAATAATGAATTAAGAAAGAATATAAATAATATATTACACAAAATTATTTAATCTGATAAATAATATTTTCATCAAAAATTTTATAACAATTTTAGAAGTTAAGACAAATTATCGTTTAGTATGATAACTATAAAGTATTGAAATATAATTTTAACAAATATATATATATATATATATATGTATATATAATCATACATATATCTGTGATTAACAAGAATTAACGTAAAAAACTTTATATAAAAAAAAACAAATATTAAATATAATTATAAACGTAAGATACAAATGTACATACATATATTGTACATGTGGATTTGTATTTTAACACTTTGATCGTGGAATTAATTACTCATTATATGCTTTAATTATATTAACAAATTATAAGTTTAAACTTGTATCTCGCGGTCAAAGTGTTATCAATACATAATCATATTCATTTTGTATTTATATAAATATAATAATGCTATATGTACCTATATGTGCCCGATTAATTTATAATAAAATTCCTTAAATTCTATTGTAAAAAAATAAACAATATTTTTAAATTTTCACATATATCGCGTTAAAAATCACAGACATGAAAAAAAATTTGAATTGACTATTCTACGCAGTTTATGACTTCGAGTGCAGATGTCCGTATCCGTTATATTAATTCAAGAGCATTTGCAAATACTGACAATAAAATGCCTGCATAATTATGATCAAAGTCTGCATTCGTGTGGCTGTCGATTATAAATATTCAAATCCGTAATTCAAAATGTGTATTGTCACAATGAATCATCTTTAATACGAAGCCGGACAGTTTTTCTGATCCGTACGAATAAAGTATGCTCTGCTAATGTTGTTCTTATCGATAATTTGGTAAGCTTTCTCTAAAACTGCGATTGGCGGTTTCGGCTCTCGCGTTAAAATCCAAACGTTTCGTACGCTGCAATAAAAATGCATTATAATTTCAAGAATTCAACAAGACTTTAATAATCTAATCTAATATTTTTGAAATATTTTTATGGTATTTAAAATACACAAATAAACAATTCATTTAACAAATTAAATTCTATTCCTGTTCGAATACACGAGAATATAAAATTAATATTCGATAATGAGAAATAAAGGAGAAAGTCTTATTGCATACTCAACTTCACTAATTAAATTTCAAAAAAATTCTAACTTGCAATTCTCTTTGTTATATTTTTTTCATTTAGTCTCCTTTCGCAAATATATAAACTTACTTGAACACTCCGAGATTCGTGCAGCTCCATACTACGCTGTATGTATTGTAATCTGTATCTAGAATCCAATAAGGCGCGTCGAACGATATTGGCAAGGATGGAAAAGTGACGGCCAATTTAGGATCATCGGGTTTGCCAATTAACCTTCCAATGCCCTCGATACCCGTTGCAACTCCAGTTCTAAGCAAGGGGACAGAGCTTTATTTCAAGTGGATAATTGCTAGTGACCATTCGTTCATCATTCTATTCTGCAACGCTGTCTCTCTCTTTCTTTCTGTCTTCCTTTTTCTCTTTCTCTCTCACTATTAATGACTAAATTATTCTGCAAATGTTATGTGTCATACTCACAATGACGAAATTTGCCTATTCGTTATCTTCACCGTGTTATTCATGTTCAGACTGTAATTAGCTGTCACACACTTTCCACCAAACTCGAACCATGCAAAGTATCTCTCGACTTCGTACCATTTGCCCAAATACTGAAAAAGAGATATTTGTGATACATTCTTTCTACATTAGAGATATTTGTGATACATTCCTTCTACCTTTAACTTGAATGCAAGTTTGAATTATTAGAGCATACACAAATGACTTTATCTATACTCTATATCATAGAAATTTATGTAATCACTTATGCATAATAACCTATCGTCGATTTAAAAAATTACTAACTATTATACATTATATGCATCATTGCACACATTGCGCGTTTTAGTATAACTTACATTTTAGTATAATTTATATAATTATTTTAATATACTCACTTTATCAAGTTCGAACTGTTGCTTTGTCTCCAAATTTAGACACGTTCCCAAAAATGGCACCTGGGCCATCGCTGCATTTGCGATGATAACGATAACAAATATCCGTAACATTTTCTTATCTGAAAAAAAAAAAACAATATTATCAGTCAAATTTTCATTAAAAATATAAATGTGCAAAACGTATAATTATTTATGCATTACAGACAGAGCAATCGATTTGATTAGAATGCAAATTGACGTACAATCAATTCAAATTAAGAACCGCAATCAAGTTTGTAAGTCGACTTAATCATATTCAAAGAGATTAGAATCTTCGATTCGTTACATCACAGAAATATTATATTCTGTCTGTATTCTCTCGAGAAAAACAAAGTATTATGAATCTAGTTTTTAAGAAAATTTATGTAATCACGGAACATTTTTTACATTTCCAACCAGATAATTTTTCTGCTTTCAAGTCGTTTTACGTCAATTTAAAATTTGCCAAGTATATTGCTTCGTATTTTTATCGCACGCTTTTATAGTATATTGTCAATTTACGTAACCTCTGTTAACAGAAAACTGAAGATTGAGAAGCAGACACGCACTCCTTTATATCATGTTACGCGAACGTACATTATTAAATTAATGACATACTTCGTGACGTTTATGAATGCAATGTTTTTCTAGCTTTTTTATCATTTATATTGTATAATCACGTGTATTGATTTTACTTATATATAATTACTGGTATATACATTGACATATAACATTGATGTAATTTATCATTTCGAGTACTGTTTCTATTTTCTTTCTATGATATTTAATGATTTGAAAGTCTAATGAGATCTTTCTACGCGATAATATTAAATGCAAGTCAATTGGCTATGCAAACATTTCATTAATTATAAATGATTTAAATTTAACCCAACTTCTTAGTTCTTCTGTTCTATCCGTCTGAGTATAATTCTGCGAACAACGTATTTGCGGGAAGCTTGATTAGTAAACAAAACGAAGCAGGGGAATTGGAAGCTGCGAGTGGAAAGAGAAGGGGAAGAGAGAGTATCGACGATTACACTTTACCATCTAAATGAGATACTCACCCGATGACCTTGATCGTAACCAGGAAAGAGATACGTGTCGAATGTCAATATGAAGAATTGATGTCGATACTCCTCGCACGACGAACTGTTCGCAGGTGACTGCGCGTCTTGTTCTTCACTTCGTGCTTGCGAAGACGGACCCGTGAAGGTTGACTGGATGCGTTTGGCAGAGTTCTGTCAGTTAGTGGGTCAATAACGGTACGCCCGGGGTTCAAGAAACCCGTTTCGAATTTGCCATTGACCAATAGATGATCGACAATTTCAAAGACACGTGGATTATTTCGTGATTGGGTGCGATGGACCGCTTTCGAAGATGCTCGCGTTCACGTTGATTAATTAATAACGGAAATTGATCAAAGAAATATCTGCGGACAGACAAATACGATGTTTGTATTAATATAGAATAACTAAAGAATTTGTAATAACGTTTTTCGAATTTATTATTTATAAAGATTTATTAATAATTTATTACTACATGTACTATATTTATTACTATGCGTTACGGATTATTATATTAATTCTATAATAATCCTATATATAATTTTGTTAAACAAAAATAGAGAAGCAAATTGACTCTAATTAGGAAAGATGTTATCAAAAGAAAATGTTTTTTTATATTCAAATATCGTGTTTTGAATATATTTTTATGAATGCATAAAATCTATAGATATATATTATTAAAACTTTTTATTAATTTTTTTGTTAATACACCGTCATGTATGTAATATGTAGTAGTATGTAATAATAATATTATGTAAAATTTTTCATTACTCATTTATCTAATTCATACCAGATATTTCCAATTATTTATCCCTACTATCTGTATATTTGAATATATAACATATTTGATTAATCGTTTAGCATATCATAGCTGACATTTGGTATTGTATCAATTTCATTGTATCTCGAATGATAGTTTTATATCAAAACATTATTATCATCGTACCAAGAAATCAAACTATTAATAATATTTAAAAAAATGTATCCGTTACGTGACCTGCTTATATTTGTAATGTTTACGATGAAAACGCCACACGACACATTTAGCTTTTATTGGTACCATATCGTGACGCAGGAGTTAAAAAGACTTTCCAAGAGCCGGAAATTACGTTTTCCCTCGCATAATATACTCATACGACCCACAAATTATCATAAACGTATTATTATTGCGCGAGAAATCTTAGAAATCTTACAAAAGAATATATTTAATAAAGCTATTTTTGTTTCAAGAATCAAAGTTGTTATTCATTAATTAAACGTAATTACCTTTGCATTAATTTACATTTAAATTACGCGACTATTCGGTATAATTGATTTGACTTGCACACGCTCAACGAAGTGGAAGTGATAAACACAATAAAAACGAGCAAGTTTTATTAAAACGTTTTTTATAACAATCTTTATTCTTTTTTAGTTTTATTTCTTTTCTTTTTTTATTTTTACACTTGTACGTAAGCCTATAAAACAAAGCGCCGTGCCAACCCCATGTCCTCAAGCGCCAGACGACGCGCCTACTGGACAATGATTAATGATTTTGCTGTACTTAAGCGAGACTGGTTCTCTCTCAACGAGGAAACCGCTACGAGCCTAAGAGCGTCAAAAAAAGTCCCCCTTTAATATGCCCTTGCTAAGCGCCAACTAACAGACACGTCTTCAGATACTTCCTAGGCAGTCTTTTTCTCCGTCTCATTCGGATACTCGCTCTTCTCCTCCTTCACGTTTTCCGGGGCGATCTTCTCCTTAACTTCGACAATGATGGTTTTATCCTGAACGTCGCCCTCCTCTTTTATCGTCTCGGCTATCTTCAGGATTCGTTCGGGAATGGTTTCCACGGGCTGCTCGAGCTTTGCGGATTCCTCCACTATGATCAGCGGGATGTCGAGGGACGATTTCTCGGCCAAAACTTCCGCTTCTTCCCTCGCTTCGATGTTGGGAGTTTTGTCGTTCGGGGCCGATTTAACGCTCGACTCGACGGTATTTTGAGCACTCGCCGATCTCGCCGGTTTCTCCGTGGTAGGTTTCTCTGTCAGGCGAGAATCCAGATAGGCGCAATCCGCCTGATCGGTTTTCACGAAGAATGTCTTCGATATCTTGTACTTGTCAAGAACGCCGTAAGCCTGATAATAATAAGAATCACGTCAGTTATCATGAAATAAATATTGGATCGTATACTAGCAATTTTAAGTGACAATACTTACTAAGGAATTATTTTTTTAGGAGAAACAAATAATATATTTAGAATGTTTTTGTAAAGTAATGATAACAATTCTAGCATGTAATACTCTCTAAATTTCTTGGAATGGAATCTCACTCTAAAAGAGTGAGACCCACTAATTTAGAGAGTGTGTATGGATGTTTTGTAAACACATATCGCTTTTTGAAGAGAGGATTTTTTAAATATATTGTACTTACTTTTTGAAGTACTTCTCCAGACGGTATTCGTTCCCTTGTCATTACCCAGGCATTTTGTGCATGAACAGGACCAATTCCTTGACAGCTCCACATAACTGCATAATTGTCGTAATCCGTTTCGAGTACCGAGTACTTGGTTTCAGGTGTCAGTGGAATTGTGGTATATTTAACGTGGAATTTACCCTCCTCAGCCTTGGAAGCTGCGGGCTTAATTTCGCCGTCCAGTATCCTCTTTACACCAGTACTAAATATGCCAGAAATATCAATAATGAGAAATTTATCTGATAAGAAAATATGTATTTGATATCTTTTGCGAATAAATTAATTTTTCTTGAATAAATTTAAAACGAATATTAATGACACAATGTGGATACTCACAATCGATTGGTAACTTGATTGCTCACGTGATATCTGCCATCGGTGCCTTTGGTATAGTTAGTCATGACGCATCTTGATACCACTTCGGTCAATTGGAAATATCTCTCGGCCTCATACCAAACACCAATGAACTGTAAAAATATCAAATATTCGTTATTCGAAAAATTGAACGTTCTTAATCATCTTTTTGCTTAAACGTCGTCGATGATATTAATAGTATTGTGGCATAAATATCCTAAATATCAGATCCAATTATTGCATTCTAAGCGATTGATTGAAAATATATATCAAGTCCACTTTCGGAAATTATTATTGAGTCGCAAAGATGTCTGTACCTGGCAAAAGAACTCTTCTTCACCATGACGAGCCATCAAGAAGAACAAGAGAATTGTTTTTTTCAAACCGAATGATACTTGATAATTTAAATCAATCGTTCAGCAAATATAATACAAAAAAATAAATTACATACATAATATTAAAAAGATAAATGTAATAAAAAAGAATTGGCCAAATAATGAAATTACTCACCCTCTGCATGTCAAAGTTCGCCATAGGTATGTATTCCGGACAGAATCCTATATTAGGAATCTGAGCGCTGGCCCAGGCCAGGGCCGAGAGCGTTAGGATGATCTTCCCGAACATGTCTGTGATGACGATCTACCTCGAATATTCGTCGGGATCCCAACCTTTATATACATTATAGCAGGAGCGTTGACCGAGCCTTACCCCCTCTGTGTATCTCACATGTTGGTACTCTTACGGTACTCTTCGCGGGCCGAGAGCCTGGAGCCAAGAAGACGATGGTCATTGGTCAATGATGATGCGCCTACGAATATCTCTTGGCAAGTCCATCTTGGTCGATGACGCGGCCAAGAACCAGAAATGCAAGATCCATTATGCAACTTCAGGATGAACGGTACTTCCAGACTATAGACGTCAGCCCCTTCGGGGAACATTGCTAGATCGAGGTCTTAAAACTACCTGGAATGCCAATGATTTCCCGGATTAAATAATGCGTGGTTAACGGATTAGAAGAATTTCGTCTCTCTGTATTTTTAATTTGAATTCGTGCTCCTTAATTAAAGTTGAAGCGGCAGCAATAGATAATTCTCTTTCCTTCATAAAAGATCCGCGTAAACATTTTTATAGGTTTTTTTTTTAACAATCTTTCTTCTTTTTATCTAAGAGATCAGCTAAATCACAAACACGTATTACACTTTTTAACATTCTTTCTTAATTATAATTTTGTTGTCGTGCTGAAAATTGCTATATAATTTGCTGTCATTTGATTGATAAAGGAACACAATTTATATATATTGACAAAACTTGCACGCGCCGATTATTATCGTATATCATTATATATCATTAATATTCAAAAATCTACCTGCTCATCTTGTCGCTGGAAAAATACGATCAACATTTCCGTTAACGTAAAATACCTATTTATCATTACGCATGATTGCTCATATGACACATGTATAAAATTGCATCTACTTGTGCGTTCGATTATGAACAAGTTTCGCTCCTCTTCCTCCATCCCCCTTCATTCATAAAGCCGGTTTCAGCTCCAGAGCGGTATCACTCGGTTTGAAAAAACAGTTCTCTTGTTCTTCTTGATGGCTCGTCATGGTTAAGAAGAGTTCTTTTGCCAGGTACAGACATCTTTGCGACTCATCGTCAATAATAATTTCCGAAAGTGATATATATTTTCAGTCAATCGCTTAGAATGCAATAATTGGATCTGATATTCAGGATATTTACGCCACAAATCTCACGCGAGCGCGTATTTACGTTCGGAGCAGGTGCAAGACCGAACCCTCCGAACGGAATCGAAACGAAGAGCGGTCAGATTGCCTGCGCCGTGATGTAATTATGCAATCGACACCGCCGAGATTGGATGTACGTGGCATACGGCATCTTGCTGGAACGTAGCCCACTGCTAACGGGTTTCGCGCTGTGTGTGCGGCTTTTCTTTTTATACAAAACCAAAGTCCCTCGTCGGACCGTTAGCCGACTTTACGCCTCTCCTTTTTTTGCGGGATTCTTTTGCGAACCGCGAACCGCTACGCGCGTTTCGTGAAAACGACAATTAGTGTTTTGGCATCGATCAAGGACACGGTCTAAAGTAATTAAGAAGCAACGCGACAGCTACTCCCGGTACGGAACGTATTTTATCATCATCGGATTATATGGCTCGAGTCGTCGATTAATTTCAAATAGGAATTAATAGCTATGTGGCTCGACAGCGGCACGAAATCTTGCGTATGTAAAAGATCCTTTCTCCACATTTTTATCTCCGAGCCATGCAATAAAACCTATCGCTTTAATGCCAAGTATTTTAATTAAGTAGAATGCTTTTCTAATTTTATTTTTAAATTTCCAAAAAATAAAAGTATTGTAATTGGTTTATATTATGTTAATCAATATAGATCATATTATTTTTAATCAGAGTATGTTGAAATTGTTCGAATTATTTAACATCAAATTTTTAAAAAATGTCTATAAATTTTTAAACAGGTACAAATAAATCGGAATAGAGGATTTTACTGGGATAAGAGAAGGAAAATCGACAATACGTATTAATTCGATTACGTACGCTTTCTTTTAGCTTGTCGTGTACACAGTGTTTCTATTTGAATTAATTTATTTCTTCGTAAATCTATGAACACTAAGAAAGCACACGAAGCTCGCGCCCCGCTTGGAAGATGCTTAAAATCTACAAAGTTTCACCCGGATGCCCGAGATGAGAGGAAAAGAAGACATATCTTCAGAAACCAATAATGAAGAATCATACATCAAATCGATCATTTTTCGCTGATTCTACAAAATGATATATATGCCAATTTTACATTGCTTAAACCTTCATCGAATAAACCATGCAATTTATCATTCAACCGATTTAGCATTAAATAATCTTATGTCGTCTTACTCTACTCGTTCCCGATCTACTTGCTCGTCGAAAGTGAAATTCGAGATCTTTCTTTTTTTTTTTTCCTCACCGATACAGACACAGTCCCGAGACATCCGGGTGCTTCTGTAGACGCGCTAAACATAATTAATTAACAATAAAATAATCTACAATGCATAATCCTAGTGCGTTTATTACGGCTCGAGAAGAGGGGACGACTGAAAGTCGGGATAATAAGGGTGGAAGAACGGTGAGACAAAGCCGATCGTGCTTATTTTAACGATTTCTAGGCGACTCGCAACAAGATCATTCCTCGATCGGTTTTCTCCCTACGCGAAATTGCAAAGATATACATACACACTTCCTCTACGGTCACATCGATGATCCACGACGGGTTCGTCGCGCCCGTCGATCACGAAAACGCCGCGGCGTCGCACGCTAAACAATAATTACTTTAGCTTTATTATCATTTAGTATCACATTACGTTCACTGTGTTTTGTGCTGGCCGTTTTCTGCCTGGCTTCGCGAGAGCGCATACCACCCCTCAAACCTCGCTTTCTGCTCCGTTACTCGCTTCTCCATATCACCGTTCTTATCATCGTGATAAATGATAAGACGAAGATCGATTTGTCTTCATCCCGAGCGATTTGCGAAAAGAAATTTCGATCGGGATCTCAAAGTTTTTTTTTTCGCGCGCCGCTTCGTTTGACAGTTAGACGAATGAATAAGTTGAGACGGAAAGAAAATTGACGTCTATGTGCAAATTTTATTTACACGCGACTATTTTATTACTTTAGAGAGAGGACTCGAATATGAGATAAATTTATTGTCACTGTAATATATATTTATACAATTAAGTATATGTTGAGATTGATATAATACCTTTCAAGTACAATTGCCGTCTAAAATGTATATATATACAGAATTCTTGCTGTTCGAAATGTCAATATTGTTTTAAAAAACTAAAATTGCACTAAATCTGTTGTATATAGTTGATCTTATTTACAATTTTGATTGACAATGTCTTTGGTGTGAGCGTATCGAAGTTACATTTTCGCTACCTCAATTTTTAGATTCCGTACATTAATATACATATTCTAATTCTTCTAATTCTTTATAATTATAGTTCAATTCAATATTGTCATATTAAAGTATAATATTTATACTTTCGTCAATTTTATATATATACATACATATATATGTGGAATGTGTATTCATATTGAAAATAATTTTATATATATATATATCTCTCTCTCTCTCTCTCGTCCAATGTCATCTTTTAAAGTCATTTTTCAATATCGTCGACGTGGTTTTACAAATTTGTATGGAGCAAAAGAGAGGTTGAGGCCCTTCTTCAAGGCACCTTAGGTAAATATATAATGCCTATCTAGAAAAGAAAAAAAATGTTGACGACCTGCGTCAAACAAAAATGAAATTATAGAGAGAAGAAAGCTATTTACAACGATCTAACTAGACTTAATAAAAAGTTGAATTAATTCGAATAAATCTTAAACTCTTGTACGTAAATTCATTATGTCGTTTCTTCCATTTTCTAAGCGAGCTCGTTATCGTCATATCTTAAACGCCTATGTTCCTTAATACTATGAACACATGAAATCACTGCCCAATCGACCAATTTGGACCCATTTGACAAGGCACTCGAGTCGCTGAGTTTACATACCGAAGGGTAAAACCGCGAATGGGATGTCAAGAACGAGGGGTGTGAAGAGGGGTTGAAAAAGGCGACGATGTGGAAGACGGGATTTTCGAAAACATAGCATTAACATAACGTCGACGTTTACTAGATATTACAATAAATCGTATCGATAATTTATAATAAACATCGGTAAACGCGTCTTTCGCAATCGTTTTCGCCGATATAACAAATTTTCGTTTCCTCGTCGTTCCCTTCGTTTCGTGATTTCTCATTTCTCTTTAGCGTTCTCTTTCGAGCATCCCGACAACATACTTTCGTGTATTCGTATTCGCGATCGAAACCGTATAACTAACGAGCAGTTAGTTCGAGGCGATTGGCGGGCAGGACACCTTAGACTACTACCTAAGACAGAAATCGGTGGAAAGTCGGTTGGTCCCTTTGCGATAAATGTAATAAATAAATTCTAGAGTTTCGTCTCTTTTTCCGCTCTCGTTTTTTCCTATTTAACATTATTTACATCGTGGGGGATTAGTGTCGCACGCGGACTGAGGTAAACGGGACGTATTTCCGGATGCCACGTGCCGCGATTAAAATAAAATATAACAACAAACAAGACGCGACGAAGAGACTGACGTTGCATTTCTAATACAAGCTCGTCAAGATTTGGCGCGTGATAATAATTGACTCTCGTGTTTGTTTTCACATTTGTCGTCCTTGTACTTTTTATGGTCGACGAGCGTGTTCGATATATGTACATGCGTATATACATATAAAGACGACGTCGATCATTAACAAAGGTGTCTTATCAAACTTATTTCTTATGCGTAACGATAAGATACTTTCTGAAAAATCGCAACCGCGCGACCTTAATATTAAGATGTTTCATTTGTGTGTAAAATCAACTCTCTCTCTCTCTCTTTTTACAAAGACACTTTCCGGTGCTGTTCATTTTTTAAGACAATGTATTTCATTTTTAATAAAACGAAAAGACATTGATATAACTATGAAAATTCAGATGAGAAACGGACTAATAAAAGAGCAAGAAGTTACAAAAGTAGGCATAACAAATATACTGTCTTGTATATCACATTTTTCGCTCCTAATTTTTCTTCTTCGTTTTTGATCGGTTTGAAGATGTAAGGTGGAACTAAGTACGTAGAAATTTTGTTTTTGGTCAATTGATCTATTGAACATGGTTCAAGGAAAGGATCGAAATATTTAAATAATATAAAGATTTTAAAACAAGATTTTCGCGCCTATTTTCTGCGCCTGGCTTACATTGATTTATTTCTTATTTGAATTTTTCTACAATTTTTAACATTTTTTATCTATGTCTTTTTTTTAATATCGGATAGATACTAGACATTACATGCAAATTTATCTGATTTGAAAAAGTGATACACACCAAATATATCAGATATGTTATGCCTTAACAATTTGTACCTTGACAAATTAAAACTGTGCACATCGTATACGGATATTTGTAGCATAAATGTGAATTATTTGAATAGCTGACATTTGCTTTTTATCGTTCCAAAATGTGTATATATTTTATTTCATTCAACCCAGCGCAATTTTTTATCTAATATCAATATTCCTTGAAGAAAACTCAATAATTTTGAGCCTTAATATGTATGTATATAAAAGAGAAAAATTTATAATAATTATTTATTAATAATACACATATATAATTAATAAACATTTATTATATTAATTTCTAATATTATACGTGCAGATATATATCACAGAATATATATTATATTAATATATAATATATAATATAATATAATGTATATATATATATATATTTTTTTTTTAACATTTTGATTGCGTAATATAACAAATATCATTTTGTAAATCTCTGATTCAATTGTGCTGAGTTTTGATAACATAACAATTTTATAACATAAAATAACTATATAAAAATATCTATCGTACTTTTGACTTTTCTCTTCATTTAAGACTTCCCTGATATATGTAGAGTAATATTAATTTAAAATACCATTACTGTATTATTGTTGAATAAGACAAAGATTCCTTCTTATTTACACACATAAATCTATACATGTAGATAAAAGAAGTACATTATTATTTCTTTCAATAATTAAAAATCGTGATGCACGAATATCTATACGACGCACTTTAAATAAAATTGATTCACTTTTATGTGTTTTGAAGAACATTTCCTTAACAGCACACATATCCTGAAGACGTTCAGAAAACATCCTGAGGATGTTTGAATGTCCTCTGGATATTCTGTGGATATCCTCTGGATATTTTTAGCATGTCTTTCGGATATGGTGTGTTGTTAGAATTGTAATATCTGGTGTACATTTCTTTGTTAAGATAACAATTTTGCAAATATTATTTTCAAAAGAAAAAAAATAGATGCATTTTTAACTTTTGAAAACAGTTTATAATAATAAATAAAATACACACAATAAAAAAAATAAATAAAATACACAGAAAAAATTATAAATTTAGAAATAAATTCTACGTGAATTGTAAATATTCTTCGATATAAAAATTTCGAATATCACAACAAAATCACTTAAAATCGTACGAAATACGTTCGTTTCTTTGACGATACAAAATTCAAAAAAATTTTTAAATATTATGATATTTAAAATTATTACTTTAAAAAACTAAAATTTTTTCATTCAAATAATGAATGTTTCAATTCATATAAGCTAATAATTGTAAAATGATTCTAAATGGTAAATATAAATAAAAATCGAGTGTCTCGATCGTCACATCCTAACGAAATCCTATGAGCGTCTCAGAGAAAATTCGCTCGAAGGACCCGTTAATCCGCGCTCGACGAGCACTCCTCAGCACCGGATGGCCTTTGACCTTGTCGCTATTCGTGATTGTACTCGCGATGTAGATTTCTGCTGAGCAGTAGATTGTTATGCGGTCCCGAGAGATGCCTGATGAGGTCCTGCAGGTTGATGAAGTTGGACGACGAGCAGAAGCAACACGAGAACGTATTGTTCGGGGCGGCTATCACACCACGGTGCACCGAGCAGAGATGCTTCAGCAAATGTGCTTTTTGCTTGAACATGGCAACGCAGAGTCTACACGCGAACGGCTTCTCGCCCGTGTGCACTCGTAAATGAGTCTTCAAGTTCCACGACATACCGAACTGTTTGCCGCAGTAACTACACCGATACTCACGTACGGGCGTAGACTTTGGCGGATCGTCCGTCGACGGCGGCGGAGGTGGTGCTCGAACTGGTGGTAGGCTCCAGGTACCCCAGGGTGGCTCCAGAGCTGCCGCCGACGCCGGATCAGCGCTCGGTGGTCGATGGGACGGCGATGTCGCCGATCTATTATCCTGCTGCACACCAATTGAGACTTGATCATATCGGCTCGACCCGGCTTGACTTACATTTGGTGGATTATATTCGGCCAAGAATCGAATAATGTTGTGATAATTTTGCTTGAAGTGAAGATAGTTAGTGTTGTTAGTGTTGTGCTGTTGAGGTGATTTTCAAATTAGCTAGATAAAAACGAGATGAAAATATGATGAAATAGGATGAAGATGATTTGTATTAAACACATTTAAATAAAAAATAAAATTATATGGCGATTTATCTAGATGACTTTCAGATAATATTATTTTTAAGACCGCTTATGCAAACACAGTTATGAAAAAAGTGTAAATTATAAAAGAAATATAAAGATATATTCAAAGTTTTTAACGCTTTTACCACTTGTGCTACTATTTAAGTATTTTTATGTGCTATGGCTTTAAACCAAATTATTTGAACATTATTCTAGATAATTTAGTATAGATAACTTTGTTTTATCTAAGCTGCAGATATTAGATAATAACATATTTTTATTAACTATACACAGATTAGATAACGCCAAAATTTCATCTAGATGATCATCTATATAATTTTATTTAAATGGCAAAGACTTGTTACAGAAAAATTTAACGCTGAAATGTGAAATGTAAAAATAATATAAAAATAAATTATATGAGAAGCTCATGAATTAGGAGTTAATTGAACATACAGTTAATATTGAGGTATTTATATATGTACAGAGCAAAAAAAAATTAAATTAGTTTACCAGATAAGATGATGCGTAGCTTACCAGGTACGGTGGAGCCGAAACGCTTAGCGGATGTGGCGCCTGCAACCTCCTGGGCGTTTCGAAGCCAGGATTGAAGGGCACGAAGGCAGGATTTTGCGCGGGAGCGTTGTGGAAACCTGGTCTTCGCTTGCGATGAGGCGTCACGACGTACGCTTCCGCAGGTGGGATCGGTAGCTCCTCGGGTTTTCTCTTCCCGGGTTCTAAACCTAACGCCAGCCGCGTCGCCAGCTGTCGCTTCCTCTCTTCGACTTCCTCGAGAGATTCTCGCCTTTCGAATATTTGCTTCTCAGGCCTGCGACAGAAGTTATGGAAATCAAAACAAATCGAACCATGAAGATTTTGCGTTTTCATTCCTGTCACTTCTGTATAGCTCGCGAAATGACCCTGCCACCTTTGTATGCACGCTAGCATTCAAAGCAGGACTATTGCGTAATACGAAAAGATCAATGTAGACCTGACCTGTGCATATCGTGCGAGTTGTCGCTCGTGACGGAAGCGCCGGAATTGAGACTCAAATTAACAGGATCCGAGCTATCCCTTCTTCTAGGCGTTTCTACGTTGCTCTCTCTGTTATCCGTAAGACTCTCGCCTTCCACACCCTCCACGTCCACTTCCGGCTCCTCTTCGCAGCCTTCCGTTTTAATAAGGACGGAACAACAGTCCGCGAGATTATTGGACTGTCTGAAAGACGTGACATTTTCATATTACAACAGATTCTTAATCATCCGAATTGCCATTCAAACATTTAATATCATTTGAAAATAAACATTCCACGTGTATATCAGTTTATATAAGTTTAAAATACATTAAATTTATATTATGTAATAAGTTTCCTTTTCTCTTCGTTTTCATATCAAAAAATAATTATTCGAGTTATTCGAATATTTTATTATCCAATTAGTTCAAGTAGAGAAAAGTCTTGTTATTCTATTCTTTTTTAATCGCTCTTCAACTTGATAAAATACAAAACATATCTGCGAACCTGCCATCATACTGGGATTCATAACTGGAACTCTCCTGGCCTTCTGAGGGCTGTGGAGTCATATTCTTTTTGGATCAGAATTACTAGAAGTTTGAGGTTTGATTGGGCACCACAACAGCTCCGATTGAATTTGAAGAAGCTCGACTAAAGCTCCTTCAACTATATTGCAACAAACTGCAGACTAAGGAGGACAACATTCTTTTATTAATTAAGAGGCTTTTTTAATTTAACAAGGCTCTGTAATATATAAATATAAATTTAAATTGTAAGACAGGCAATAAGAACCAAATCGCGGTTGACAGTACGTTATTCTAACGAAACTAAATTTTTTCGTTAGAATTAAATACCTGTGCACAAGGCACCAAATTTTACTTGGTCACGGCCAAGATTTAAAATTGGAATAATCTCTACAAGAGATTTAATTCCATACATCCCCTGTTCCCCCCTAAGGAAATGAATAAAATTCTATTATTAAGATTTTGCTTAACACATTTTCTCTCGTAGGCTTAAATTAGATTTTCTGGCGCGTTACATGCGAATAATTGTTCTCTTTCTAAAATTGTAAAATTCGTACCGGTATCAGCGCTTCTCCGTTGTACAAAAACTCCAACAAATGGTTCAGTTGCGTCTTTCGAACGCCAGACAAATGAACCACGTGATCCAGAGCTGGATTCCGAAGTAGAGTAGCCAAAAGGGGACTCGCTGCTGCCAAAACGACTCGATGGGCCTTCACGACAGACCCATCGTCGCATGCAAGGGTCACATCCACGTGACGGTCCCCGCTGTACCAGGCCCCGACCTCTGCGGCCAAGGTCGCTGGATGTTTTCCATAGTGGAGGGTCAGGAGACCGTCCGTATACATCGTCTAGAACATAGAAGAACAAGAATAAGAAAGAGTAGTATCCACTTGTTTCAAAGATTAGATTCATTATTTCAATTCAAGATTGCATTAAATACATTACCTGAGACATAACACCAAGAAAGATAAATGCGAACAGACTTATACTCGTTATTTCTTGGTAAATTAAAACAAAAAGGAACTGGTGCCTCTTTTTTGCGTAAGTGAAATTATGTGATAAAAATTTCATTACGCGTCCTTAACCCAATAAACGGTCTTACTCGCGTGTCACAAAGACAGCTTCGTTATATTAATTTCCTTGTTTCGTGCCTTGGATCTCTTAAGAAACGACGGAAGAGACACTGACGTGTCAGGAGATCATATTTCTCACGTTTCTCTTACATCTACGCAGCTCTCAGTTGATCACGTCAAACGTGTTTAATGGCGTCAATTACCTAGTTAGATAATCTAAGCCTCTTACGCATTCCTTTTTACTCGTCGTTGGATATAAATATTTAATCACATTTGTAACTATCCTAAAAATTTACCAAAAAAACATGATCATAAAAAATAATTAAAAAATAAATATTTTATATAATCTAAGCTTCTTACGTATTTCTTTTTACTCATCTCTGGATATAAATATTTAATCACATTTGTAACTATCCTAAAAATTTACCAAAAAAACATGATTATAAAAATAATTAAAAAATAAATATTTTATATAATCTAAGCTTCTTACGTATTTTTGTTTACTCATCTCTGGATATAAATATTTAATCACATTTGTAACTATCCTAAAAATTTACCAAAAAAACATGATTATAAAAAATAATTAAAAAATAAATATTTTATATAATCTAAGCTTCTTACGTATTTCTGTTTACTCATCTCTGGATATAAATATTTAATCACATTTGTAACTATCCTAAAAATTTACCTAAAAAACATGTTTATAAAAAATAATTAAAAAATAAATATTTTATACATTATTAACTTATATATATATATATATATATATATATATATATATATATCTGTATATATGCATGTATGTATGTTTGTATATATGTATGAATGTATATGTATATTTATTTGCCTTTATACAATTTTCATGTACTTAACTGACAATTATGGTACAATAAATGTCGAGTGGAAGCTTACAATTTCTATATATATTTATTCATAATATACTTAATAGTTACTTAATAAAGTAATTAATTGTATGGTTGAGGTTTGTTTCAAAGCCGAATGATTTACGAACTTGTTTCACATTACTGGAAAATCTATTAATATTGTTAATTATTGGAGGAATTTTACTTACTTACGCAAATATCAGATTGCTTTAGAATTTTCTCATCAAGTGTCATCGACGAATCAATAATTCACTTTTAAATAACTGTTATCTAAAAAAAAAAAAAAGAAAACAGATTGATAGATTGTTATTACAACATAATCGTATAACAGTAAATCGTTGAGAAAACATCTGACTAATACGATAACGATCGCGCAAGAACTATCCCATTCATCCGTATCCTAAGATTTGCAACAGTTTAACGCGGCCACGGCTAAGAATTGAGAATTAACGGCTGATCGAGCATTCCTTCGGTTTCTCAAGGGAAGCCTGAGAGAAAGTTCGGTTTCACGACGGTTCATTCTCTCAAGGAGCAGAAGTATAACTAATATTATGAAACCAACGCTATAAACATCGACAAATTCCGCAATGTCAAAGCGTGCGCAATCACGCTGAAAATATATTCGGCCAGGTTATCGACAGACTTTCATTTCTAGTGATATTTCCAAAACAGAAGGAGAAAGAATGCAAAAAATATATATTCATAAATTTATTGTTATACCTTTCTATAGTTTCATATACAAACGACACTTACGAAAGGCTAATCCTATATATTATTCTTTATACGGGTATTAAGTATGTAAATAAGCATTTCAAAATTATAGAGCGGCAAGTGATGGTATGCCGCATATGATCTAAGAGCACATCTCGCATATTCGCGCTACCATGACCTTCAATCGATTGTCCGATCAGATTCGAAAGGGAAGACCTTGGATGAGAGTTACGAAGACGAGCGATCGATGAAATTCTAAATTGTCGAAAGTAATTCAGCGACTTTGCCCGGCGAATTGACATTAAACATATGCATATGTATATTCTCGGGCTATCGTTTATTCACTCTTAGATAACACGTCTCATCGGAATGAATTCCTTTCATATTAGACGTCGCAAAGCGCCGCCGTTACGTAACTGAAAAATCTACATCCGCCTGGTATCCGCGCTTGCATAAGAAAATAATTTCGCTGGAAACCTTGGTACGCAAGATAGATCGACAACGATACAAGTCTCTCTCTCTGGCACGCTTAAATCATTCGATCATCCTATTAATATTGTGAAATAGGAAGATAGCTATATATAAAAAAAGAAAGACATTTTTACATTTTACAACCGAGATGCACCGAAATAAGCCGAGATCAACCAAAAGGAAGAAATTCTTAATAAGATCTTCGCATGTCTGACCATATCACGAGGATATATCACGAGGAGACGCGGGTAATTATCCGTAAAAGAGAGATTGAAAAAAGCGATCTGAGAAGAGAAAGAGAGAGAAGAAGAAGAAGAAGGCGAGTCCTTCGGGTAAGAGTTACGACGGCCATCCGCGCGCTCACTCGCATACGTAAGTGACGTCTCGCTGGCGTGATACACGGAGAAAATCGCTAAATAAGGTAATCATTGCTTGGACACCGCTGCCGCCGCTCTGCCGGTTAATGCTAGTAAGCAGCGGCTGAAGTTCAGGGTCGATCCGTGCTTGGCCGGATTACGTTCGCGCTTACGCGCTCACGTTCTTCTTTCTTCTTCTATTTAGGCCTTGAAGAGTTGCCGGGCAGGGTCTCGTGCCGCGCGCGCGCGCCTTACCACGGACGTAACAAATGACTGGACTGGAGTGTTAGCCGTGCAAGCCGCGGTCGCGAGGTGCAAGGGGAGAAACACTAAGTAAGTGTGCCATATCGAGCCTCCCATCGACCCAATAGCAGACTGGTGATACGGATTAAATTGATCCTTACAGGTCTGCCGAAGAACAGGCAGGATCTTTCGCGCCACAGGAATTGGAATTTAATCGCCGGAAGTTCATTTTATTTCAAGCCACTTCATTCCCGATGTCGAGATAATAGCTCAGCGAAACTGTAATTAAACAGCTTCCCTTCTTGCCTGAAAATTCATCTTGCGTAGCATCTTGAATTTAATAAAATTATTTTAACCTTCTTATTTCTCGAGGAAATTAAGACCCTTTAAAGACGTTTAAAATACGTAAGACGACTTTTAAACAAGTGTGTTGTGCGGGTTGCCTTCTTGCTTCATCTAAGAGATGAGGTAGTCGATCAAGATAGGTATCAAGTTCGCCGCTCTTATTTGAAAATTCATGATATATTTATCAAAGCATTTGTTATAAAACTTTAAGGCTAAAGAGGGAAAAATATGTTGCAATATACATACAAGAAATTCAAAGAGAGTAGAGAGTCAAAGTGGTGCGCTTTTACCAGTCAAGTCATGCCTTTCGCTCTTGTACGTGCTGTGCTCTGCTGTGGCAAGAACAAAACTGCCTCTGAAAAGTATTCCGATATTCGGTGTCGGTAAGCTTTTAACTTCGGTTGATACTTTGTGCGAGAGAGAAATTTCAATGTATAAATAACAAGGTCTACAAAGCAGTCGACTGTGAAACATACTTGAATTTAAAAAAAAGGTTGCGAAATAATTAAGCATGCACACATCGACAAAAAATGTAATCTTAGCATATATTTTCTTTTTAATTAAAAAGAATCAGAAACAATCATACTACTTTATATAACTTATTTCTATTATTTAATAAAAATTCAAAGACTTTCTGAGTACAGCGAAGAAATATCAAGTAATCATTATTTTTAATATGATTGTTACATGATTATTTAACAATAATATATTTATCAAAATTTATCAAAGTTAAATGATATATCTTTATTGTATCTTTGCTTATTATTTTTTATTTACGTTATTCATTAAATTAGCCCAATTAGCAACATATACGAATTACGAAATTGGAAATTGAAAGGCTGAAAAAACAGTAATTAAATTTTGAGAAAAAATCAAAAACATTAATTATCGATTGACTTTGATAAAAGCTTGCTTTTGTTATAACATTTTACTTTGCATTTAAAATTTTCAGAACTAATTTCAAACACATCTTACAAAACAACAATAGCTTCTTTTGATTCTCATTTCTCTATACGTTGAAAACTGACACCAATTACATCGCGCTTTCGTCATCGCTCGCAGTGAATCATTCGAGACCGAATTTGTAATATGCTAACAATGGCTAAAAAAAAAAAAAAGAAAACGAGTACAGTGTAACGATACATATACAACTGATGCAGAGCTGATTCCTGAGGTCGGGGAACGTCAGATAAGAGGAGAAAGTCGACAAATTCGTAAACTTCTACCGGGCGGATCGACCGACGTTGCCGCTCGTTTATCGCTCTTGCTGCTGTATATTTGTGTGTATATATGTATATATAAATATGTGTGTGTCTGCAAGCACACATCTCCATGCATACACACGGACGTATGCGTGAGTGTACTTTCCTTTCGGTTTAGACGATTTGATTGTACGCGCGTGCACATACATACGTATAAAAGCGCGAGGCGACGATGCGCGGTACACGCGAGCATTATAATCTCCTATCCGGATGGCGGACGTTACGATCTACCATTGAATCGAACAATGGCGAAACTGGGTTACGCAAATGTCGAGGCTGGAAATTAAAGCGCGAGACCCCCGGAGGGAGCTAAAGCGCGGGCGAGAGAGAGAATTCACGTCGTCGCGGCCGAGCGATGAAAAAGATCGCGCTCCGTTGAAAAACGCGGGCTTAATCGTAGGAAATGAGCGGTTCGTTAAACCCAATTGCGTAAGACAATTTTTCAAAATTTTACGGATGTATTACACACACGTATGCTATAATATCTCTGCTATTACACGCTACATCCTTGGCTATTAATTCCTCGATCGATCCTTCGTCAATGTTGATACAAATTCATATTTTTAATATTTCGATTTGCGCAAATCGAAAGCTCTGTGGATTTAATATAATTTCTAAACAAATAATACAATTTTATTTGTCAATAATTTTTGAATAAATAATTACAGCGAAATTATAAGACTTTATTGCAAGCTATATGAAAAATAATTTGAATATCCCATTAAATTGTTTTTTTTTTAGGAAAAACTCGAATTTTTGTTGATTGAAGAATCGATAAGCGAATAAAGAAGCGACGTTGTAGTAGTGTTTTCAGATCACTTTACTGACAAGAGCGCATAGTTTTTACAGTCCGTGATCGATCGTTTCAATACTCGATATCTTTCTCTCGTGGTTTTCAGAAATTGCGGATTTGTACAGTTGTTTATTTAAAAAGAGAAAAAAAAAAGAAAAAACACACAGATCGTGACAGCGCTGATTAAGGTGAGGCGGCTCAAACCGCGGCTCAAGCCGACCAGCACGGATTGAGCAACGCGGAGAGAGAACTCGTTACGGGGACCTGTAATGGGGCCCAGGCGTTTCCGCTCTATTTTTTGTAAACCCAATTACGTTTCGCTAGTCTGGATAGGCTATATGTTTCGCGGTCTCATTGTACCCCGAGTTCGTATATACTCCAACTACCATCGGTATCCACTCGTTTGGAACACTAAGCAATATCCCATGGAGAAACGATTCTGCACCGCAGAAGTGCAGCCGTTTAAGCTCGCAATCGGAGTGAAGTTTTTCGAAAAGAGATGATCCGCGACATCGTCGATCCTTCACGATACATTAAGCGAAGACAAGAGGTCGAGAAGACGAGGCTCGAGAAACGCCGGGTGTTTTTTCTTTTGAATTTTACTGTGAATAAAATCGGATCTCTCGTATTCTCAACATTTTTACGGCGCCGTATAAATAAGTACAACGAAATGATTTCAAATTAATATATAATGATTGCATTCCTCTTCACATTTGCATTTGTATTTTTCTCAAAGAAAATTACCTTTCTCAGAATCAAAGAAATGTGTAAAGCTGCAAATGTCAATTTGTGTGTACAACTATTATTAACAAGACAATTATTATAAAACTGGAAAAATAAAATCAGAAAGAAATATTTTTATCGGCTCTCAATATAAAGAATATAAATATGATTTTTTTTTTTAAATCGGCCAACAGAGCCAAAGCACGAAAAATTAATTATTCGGAAAATTAAAATTATTTGGAAAAATAAAATTAAAAAATTCTTTTTTGAAAAATAATATCAGTTGATGTCAATCTTCATTCTCTCTCTCATGAGATGCAACTTTAACGAGGCCTGACAGCAAGAATCCGCGCCTATTTTCGAACCGGCGAACTAGTTTACGTTCGATTCGCGGACAGTCGATTCGATATCTCGCCCGTGTTTCCGTCGTCCAAGAATAGCTTCGTGGTTCGCTGACTTCCCGTAAATGTGCGGCCGCGCATTGTATTTCTCGGCGTCCCAGGAACGAAAACGCGTCAGGGGCAAAGTTATGACACCCCGTGAAACCGTGAGGTGACTCACACCTTTCCTCGATTTCGAATCGCCATTTTCCACCTGGTCTCTCACGCTCTCTCTCTTGCGCATCGCTCCATCGACTGTGACGTGCTCTCTCTTTCTCTCTTTTCTTCTCTCCCCCGTTCTTTCTCTTTCTCTTCAACGTCTCCTTTTTCTGTATATGCAATTCTTCGCAATCCAAGTACCATCGCATTAGTATCCGGAAGAGATCAGCGAATGTGTCTCTAATCGGAAGTGCGTATGCTCGTAAATTTTATCGTGAGAATTTTTCAGTCCGACACTATTGTCGAAATGACAAAAGAGGTCATCAGTTTAGTTCATTCACAATATTGTACGCTAATGTCCGTCGCAATTGTACATCGTAATCTACGATTTATTCTCAATCATTATAGTTGATAGTATGTAATATTCCGAGAGGGAAAGAGAGAAATAGAACCGCGGTTAAAGTTACAGACTACGAAGAGTCTGGGTTATCTCGACTTACGGAGTAAATACTACATTTAATGTTATTGTGTTCAATTTTCTCTCCTCTCGTGTCGCATTAACACATAAGTATTTGTGTCACGAAAAGCGACGACAAAAGAGAGAAACTTCCTACTTCTCTCGCAAGAAGAGACTCGGAATCAACCGCTGAATTCTCTAGAGACATCCGTTTGACGTTTCTGAATTTAACAGATCAGCTGATCCCAGACACGATCCCCTTTAAATTATCCGGGATCAGCGCGATCACCATTTGCTCCCTTTCGAGAGTGCTGAGCTACTCCATATAATTAGAGACGCGGAACTTCGCGATGGATCGGGGTGCCAAAAATAGCAACGCTGTCAGAGCGATGTGGTGGACTCGTTTTTTTTTTCTTTCACACGACGGAGCGACGGAAAAATTTCTCGCGCTCGATCGGCGCTCGAGCAGTCGCCGAGTCACCAGATACATTTCGTTCAAGGCCAGAAAGTAAAAAGCCTTTTCAGCTGCACTTACCGTACCGAGCTAGTCGAGTAGCTCTAACTGGTACATGCGCGCGCGCGAACACACGTCCACATCATTAGATTCGTACACGCGATGCACGCGACACGGCCTTGTGTGAGCTCGCACGTGTAAATATATGTGTATGCATTTTATGTGCATACGCGTGTGTAAATGCATGTATGATTGCGTGCATGTATGCGTGTGCATGCAAGCGCGAAGGCGTCCCTCCCGGTCTCTCTCTCTTTCTCTCTCTATCTCTCCCGTCCTCCGAAGCGAGTCCGCGAAGCGGCTAGTTACATGATCCATTCATTATATAAGAACAATCGTCTCCTCTAATAGACATGCTCCATCATTGTGAATCTGAAGGGCATGCTCGGTGTACGCGTGCGTCGTACACCTCTGCTCGTGATGCTTTCAGAGAAGCGGACGAAATTGCGTTCATCCCTCGACTAGCAAAAGGCGAAATTCGACGGAAGAAATTCGGATCGAAGGTCACCGAAGAATCTTTCTCCTCACGCGACTGTCATAATCGTGACGATATGAATTTTACGTTCTCCAACGCAATACTAGCTTCGCATTTATCTAATAAAAAAAAAAAAAAAAAACACGAGAGAGCTAGCGCGAATGTGCTTAATTACACTCGTTTCATAATGAACGACGGTCTCTCCGGATGCACGGAATGCATTGTACTATTCTTTAAAGCGTTTTCTTTTCGCCACTGCTGGACCAGTGTTTTCAGAATAAAATTCGCTGTAACATCCGGGAAAAAGCATGTTTCTTCTTTAATGAGATTGCAAAAATTGCGAAGGGAAAACTTTATAAACCCGGTTAATAATAAAAAAAAAAAAATATTTTCGAAGAAAAAATCTTTGGCGGAATTTCTAGTGTTGTGTTCAGATGGAGAACGGTTCTCCAAGGAAGAGAATCAATCCTAATCATCATTCGCAAACACACTCGCGATTTAATTCATTTCTTTGCTGACTTTGTGTAATTCCAGCATTACTCCCGTTTATTCTTTTACGCCGATTTCGCATCATGACGCACACAAATACACACACATATATATGTATATGCGCGTGTGTGAATCGGCCTTTATGCCACGAGCTTCTCCGCACCGCGTTGCTCTTACATAACGCGCGATCGTTTCTCTTAA